GAGCCGCTCTGGCTCGCAGCAAGCAGATCGAGAAGAATCTCAAGGAGGATGGTATCCAGGCGGCCAAGGACATTAAACTCCTGCTGCTTGGTATGTCGTTACTCTTTATTAAGGATGTGCGATTTCCGGATTGATTCACTAAAAATCGACTTTTTGTAAAGAAAAAATGCTTCGAAATAGCCCTCTTTGTTAAAAAAAGAAACGATTCTTTACAAAGAGATTGGTTTAAAATAGCTCCTTTTAGTTAGAAAAATTATTTTTCGCAAAATAGATCAGTTTAAAATTGTTAATGTCATTTGGGAAGGTCGATCTTTTGGAGATCGGAACATCCCTATTCTTTATTCATCTCGAAGTATATGTCTGGCGAGAATAAATGCGATATGTATGCTCGTTAAAATTTTATAACAATCGTAGGTGTAGACATGTTTCTATGCTATTTTTGAGTATGAGTATTTTGAAAAAAAGGCACAGCTAACATCCAAAATTCTTGCTCACTATTTTATTTAGCATGGAACACATGATTCAATGTAAAATCGAAATAAAATTAGATGATATAAAATTTATATAAAAGTAGATGCTTTGTTAATTTGAGTCTAAATTTCTGCGTAATCTCTTAAAAATCTATGATTCCCATCTATATTTCTCAGGATTAAATAAGAAATATATGTTAATTGAATGATTATGGATTTTCAAATATTTTATCAAGTGTTTCTTTTTTTGTAGTTAATCATTTAAATTTTATAGAATTTTATCATTTAAATTAAAATTACTGTAAAAATAACGCTATCATACATTATGCGGAAACAGGTCAAGCAGAAGAGATAAACAAGTAGTTATTTGATTTGGATCTGGTGACTTGTATATTCAACATAAATGTAGTGGATACCAGTATTAGAACAATAACTACAAAAGGCAGAAGGGGCGTAAAACACTTCAGGGTTGCAACTTGTGCTGAGATACAAACTGTAATGAGTGAAAGAAATATGATAACACACGGAAAGAACAGTTTTGCTGAAGTATCTAAAAAATTAGTTGAATACAGATGAAAATAAATTTTGTTGTATTATCAAAATAATTATATAATATATGACACTCAAATTGATTGCTAGACTGTCAAAATTTTCTGCTATATTGCTCATCATATTTGAGTTTTTTTATATAATTATTTTAATAATCTAACAAAATTATTTTTGAATTTGTTACTTAAATTTTTAGATATTTTAGTAAAATTGTTCTTTCCAATTATAATATCGATTATGCCTGTTGCAATTTATATTAAAATCTTACCTATTTTAATTGTCATGTTCGCTTGAACATCGCAAAGAATTAACAATATAAAAAATTAACAAAATATATGATCAGATATGCAGTAGTCGAAAAGAATTGCGTGAAGACTTAGTTCGTGATTGTAAGAGTTTTGAAATATGAGAAGGCTAAACTTCGTCAAATCGCATAAATATTATCGGGAAATTATCCGTCGGAAATAATGCACGCAACTTGGCGACCGACTGCGATTATATCGACGACACAGTGCGAAGTATTATATCTACACTACCGTTTCCCTCTTGCGTTAGATATTTCATGAGCTATGGATCTATGATT